CCCTTCCTTTGCTGTGCATTAGACAGCATGTCATACTTTCATGATATATTTTGACTGCAGCTATGTTGAAACAGCCCAAAGCATAAATGGGAGTCTTGGCAATGAAATACAGTTGTATGGTTCTGTGCCAAACAGCTTAGAGCAATGTCTGAGCAGTTCAGCTGTTCTAGCACATCAGAAAATCTGTGTAAAATCTCTTAAGTTATTTTTAAACATACCATGCTATACGTCTTTCTTTGAAGCTTTGCTTTTAGTGTCCTTATTTGATATGTTGGAATTGTCTCATATCCTTCCTTCTTTAGAAAAAAAAGAAAGTACTGAATGGGTGTGCATGTCATCTTGCATGTAATGCCCTACTGCAGTCAGACCTTATTTTGAATTTTAAAAGAAAATAAACTCAATTCAGTGGGAGGCACTGTGGAAATTAATGTATGTTCTGACATTCAAATGGTTCCAGCAGACTAGATGCAATTTGATTTTCACTGAGTTTCAGTGAGTTTGGGGGCAAAGAAGATCCCAGATATGTTGACAGCAGCCGCAGGATTGGCGGTTGTGTTCGGCAATCTGTGCAACATACCTAGCGTCAGGCCAGCTGTGATGACTAGTGGGTGACAGCAAAAATAATGAGGCTTAATTCTGTATCCTCGCAGTCACTTGCGCTGTAAGTGTGTTTGTTTGGCACTGTCAATCCTGAGTTGATCTGCATGTCTTACCGCTTAACGCCATGCAGAGGGATGTGCCCAATTCAGTGGAGTCGTTAACTAGCTAAAATTTCTGGAAGCCAGGTCAGAGGTTTGTGGGCTGGAACTGGCTCAAGGTCTGGAGTCATTTGCCTTTGAGTGGCAGGGAAGCATATTGGGAAGGTAACTTTGTTTTTTAATTTCTGAGGTTCTTGGAGAATCAATGGCGGGCATTTCCCAGAATGCAAAAACTGGGGATCTCTTAGTCTTTGGAGAATGTGTTGGAGTTGCATCCAAGGCTCTTTGTGGCCTCACAGAGGCAGCAGCTCAGGTAAGCTACTAAAATCTGTAAAGCAAGTATATGTTTTTATTTTTTTAGCAAGCTCATGTTGTGGGTGTGTAAACCTGAGCTTCACGTTCTCGTGGCCAAACAAATGATGACCTTGTACTATGCGGCGTGCTCTGTGTAGATCCACATAAACTATGCATGCATGGCTGTACATTGCAGAAGCAGCAGAGTGCAATAACATGCATATTTTGTAAGGAAGGGAAATGACATCAAGAAGGAAACTTTTCTGAGGATAAAGCAAGTGTCAAAGCTGCAGCATACGGAATTCAGGTTTGCAGCTCAAGCTCTGAACTATTGCATCATAGAAAAGTACACAAAAACCAGCCACAGTTAAAATGAATGAATCAAGTTTGGTTTAGTTTGTAAAAATTCATAAGGAGCACTACTAATTTCAGACATTTAAAATAATAAGCAACATGTTTCAGCTATTCAGATACTTTTGGAATAACTGAAATTCTAAAGCTACTACAACAAAATAGTCTGGAACTGGTTACTGTGGTTTCACTGACCTGATAACTGGATGACTTGAACTCTTAAGAGCTGATACAGCCTCTTCAGTGAAGGATTTGGCTGTCGGGGACCATGCTCTGCATCCAGAAACCACTTCTTGATTTCCGCAAATATGGAATATCTCAGTACAGATTTAATCTCCTTTACACGTAACCCTGCATTGCCTTACTGGCATATCAAGGTGACAGATAATTGTATCTGTAATGGAGATTCATCAGACGTGGTTTTGACAGTTCAGACAATTCCTCCTTGTTGAGAGGCATTGAACTTTTATTTAGTTGAGAATAAGTTTGACCATCAGACATCTTGAGCTGCAGTGGGACCAGCAACCACAGACTTGATGGGTCCTACACTCAGCGGTAGTGCATTTGCTGTGGGTTGGACTTCTACTCAGCCTTGACAAAAACCCTCACCACCTCCAACTGTGTCTAATCCAGTAAATAATTTGCTGATGCTTATGACCATTAAAGCTCTTTCCATTGGCTATGCAAGTGAAAAATAACATTTCCAGGAATATCAGCTGCTTAAACAGTGGACAGTTTTGACTAAATAAATTTCACAAGTGTAGCCGTAAGGTTTCGTGGTTTCAGAGGATTCTGGAGATTTATTGCTAAAAAGATGGTAATAGTACTTCACAGTATGATTTCTGGATAATTTCTCATCACCGTGTGCTATAACGTATGGCAAGCTTATCAGAGAACCAAGATGGATTTAGCATTGTTTCTTAGGGTTGTTTTCTTCCTTTCTGTCTTTCTAGGCTGCTTACCTGGTTGGCATCTCGGATCCAAACAGTCAGGCTGGCCAGCAGGGTCTTGTTGACCCAATTCAATTTGCCAGAGCCAATCAAGCAATCCAGATGGCTTGCCAGAATTTGGTAGATCCAGCAAGCAGCCCATCACAGGTGATTCCAGAGGCTTAGAGTGAGACTGTCATTGTGACCAGGCAAAGGAGTTCTGGTTTGAAACTGTTGTATGGCTTTCAGCTGTGTGCAGAGCTGGAGTGTAGTAACTGTCTTGCCCCTTTGACAGTCTGCTTGTTTTGTGCCATCTATTTTCACAGGTGTTATCAGCTGCCACAATTGTGGCCAAACATACTTCTGCTTTGTGCAATGCTTGCCGCATTGCTTCCTCAAAGACAGCAAATCCCGTTGCCAAGAGACACTTTGTGCAGTCTGCCAAGGAAGTTGCAAACAGCACTGCTAACCTGGTTAAAACTATCAAGGTACAAATGCTGCTTAGTTGTGCTTCCTTCTTCCTTTGTGTTTTTGGTTTGTTTTTTTTTTCCTGTTGAGACAGAATCAGAACAGTTAGAAGTATCTTTTTACCTTCTGTGATATATATGGTTTAAGAAATGATTAATTATATTTTAGAAGACTTGCACTGGAAAACAGGTTTCAGTGGTACAACTCTGCTGTAGTCAAGATGGAAAGAGTTGGGCAGTATCAGTATTAGGAGAGGCAGCTGGCCAATCCAGTATCAGACACCTCTGTGTTGATGTGTTTAATAAGCTTGCACCATCAGAATAATTTGCAAACAACAGAACATGAAGGTTTTAAATGGTGTTACGTTGCTCAATATACAAAGGTTTGTGGAGGTATTTCTGGCAGCCTTACCATATTTATAAGAGAAAACTAAAGAAACAAATAATACTGGGAAGCAAACAGAAGCCATTTATATTGGTGCTGTTTAATAGTCTCCTATTAATAGTAATCTTTTATTTTCCGGATCCCTGTCTGCAGTTTGCAGTTTGGCAGGAGGTAGTTTTTCCTCATGCAAGCAGAAATAATACTTGTTAAGCTGTAGAAGCCATTAGCTGATATGCTACTGAAATTATGATATGCTACTGAAAGTCTTTTAAAATAATTTTGCTCTTCAGGCTGAAAGTTTCTATTACATTACACAGAAGGTCCTTCGTGTTGAAATCTTACCTATGAGATTATGAAAGAGATCAGTTGACTTGTGTGAAAATGAGAGCAGTTTTAAGTTTAGGGTCAATAACCAGCTAAAGAAGTGCACGCACGCTTAAAGGATCACATTCTTTGCATCAGCCTGTTTTCTGGAGGAACTTTCAAATGTTATAAACACACAACAGTTTAAAACTATGAAGAATTAAACCGTATTCCTTCAATTTTGCAAAGAGACCCGTTCAGACAGAACTCAATCATGATTTAATTTCCAGGCCCTGGATGGTGATTTCTCTGAAGAGAACCGCAACAAGTGCAGAATTGCTACTGCACCTTTGATAGAGGCTGTGGAAAATCTGACAGCATTTGCTTCAAATCCAGAATTTGTCAGCATCCCTGCACAGATCAGCACTGAGGTAAGGCAGGATGTTCCACTTCCACCCTCAAAAAGTCAAAAATGTTGAATTAATCATGTGTCGGAGGAGAGGAAGTGGGTGTAGAGACCTGACCCTGAAATGTCTCTCTGTATTCCTGGGTGTTCATAGGGCATTCTGCTGTCTCGCTTAACCTCTGACCTTGAATTTTGCAGCAGTAGGATAAAATTAGTTAGGCTACAGTTCAGCACTGCCGGTCTCTTGTTAATGAAGTGATACGGTACAGGTGACTCGCACGCCTTGTTAGCTGGATTCTTCCGTGTGGTAAAGTAATACATATCCCTTTTTCCCTCAAGAGCAGCTTTTACAAATTGAACCTAATTCGTTCTGAAAAGGATTGAAGGGGCATTGCTTGGGTTTTTCCCTTCCAAAAATGATGTGGTCATGATGACAAAAAGCAGGTTTCTGGCAAGAATAACTTTCTGTGGGCCTTCTGTACTTTTTTTCCCCGAGTTCCCCGTCCTCAACCCCAGTAACTACAGCAGAGTAGTATTCAAAGTAACTAATAAAGGGTAAAGGTTTTTTTCGGGGGGGGGGGTGTTAGTAAAATAGATCCTTTAACCTTCATAAAAGCTTTGAAGTAGAGGTCATGTATTCTTACTGACTTTGTCAACTGCTCCTTCCTGCTTTTGGGAGCCTCTGTTCCAGCTGGTGGTATCAGATGATGCAGTAACTGTTGCAGTCTTAAAGTTGTAAGGCTGTAACTGAAATCTAAGCCTGTCCTCCAGGCCTGTGGTACCTGGGTTTACCAGAATACCGGTGATAAAATAGGTATAGAGATGATAACCCAATTAGAGTGTTGTAGCCCAACTAATTCCCAGGAAAAGAGCACGCTTGGTTGGATCTTGCGAGTTTTGTGACAAATAAAGTTTATTTTAAGTGGTATCTCTATAGTCTACAATTGTTTTCTCCTGTTTCTCAGCTGGATGGTGCCGTTCTGAAGTGCAAAGTGTTTCTTAAGTACGTTACAGAGAAAACTGTTAGACTGCGATGGTTTTAGTACTATTTCTGTGTTGACTATCCGTGAATATGATAGTATGATACAGGAAATGATAATGCCGTTTTAATGCTGTTAATTAAACAGATTTTTGGGAGCAGAAAGTGTGGACAAACTCAAATAATTATTTAAATGTTCTTTGTGTTCTTGTGCCTTTCTGGCCACAGGGATCACGAGCACAGGAACCAATTCTAGTTTCTGCTAAAACAATGTTGGAAAGCTCATCTTTATTGATCAAAACTGCTCGTTCTCTGGCTATAAATCCAAAAGACCCTCCTACGTGGTCTGTACTTGCTGGGCATTCCCATACTGTCTCAGATTCTATCAAGAGTCTTATCACCTCTATCAGGTATGTCTCTTGTAGTAACAAAATTGTAGTAATAATTTAGCAGCCATTTGTAAAGAATAATATTGTATGGCTGTTAGCACTGTCATGTTTTTCACTAATGGAAATTACTTATTCTGTGATGCACAATATGTGCCCGTTTACACTCTGTGTAGGTGATGACTGCAGCACTCTGCAGTATAGGGTTGTTCTGTGTTTGTGTTCTGTTCCCTTTCCCTGGCTCCACCTTCAATTTAGTTTAAGGTGAATGTAATGGAGAATGCTGTAGAATTTTAAAAAAGCATAGCTATATTACCTCCATCCAGATCTCGTACCAACATACAGTACATGGAAAAAAGCATATTTTTTTTCAGGTGGATCAGACAGTATAAATTACCTTTGCTATCTGTTCTTTTCTATAGTGTTCTCTGTTCAGTTGCAAGAATGCTGTAGCAACAAATGAATATTCTTTGGTTTTTGGACTAAACCTGTTTGTCCCTTTCTTAAAAAAAATAAATATGTTAAATTATGGTTCTATACTTAATCTCAATATTGATTAAATCAAAATGGTATGAAAACAATGAACTAAGGAGTGTTTACAGTTCTGTGATCTTTGATCATGGTTATACTGACTGCAAATCAGGCAAAGTAGTTGGAAACCAACCTTTGTTAAAAGGCACGTGGGACTGAATGTTACACCTAGTACTAAGGAATTGTTTTAAGACATTTGGTCGCACCGTACGGAAATGTGAATATTTTTGCCTGGTGTCTGTTGCGTTTTCGTATTGACCTTCATTGTTGGGCCAGTCTGGCCATCCAAAGGAGGTTGAATTTGCATTTTTCTTCTGAGGCAACAAGTTTTTTTTCCATCTAATCATTGAGAGGAGCAATGTGTGTGTGTATATAAAAGTGTGCAGAGTACTCTGTACCTATATCGAAATCCCAAAGGTAGAAGAAAGCTAACTGTTGTTCTTGTTGCTCTCCTCCCACATGCTTTACGTACTGTCAGGTGATGAAGTATACCTGTACTTCATGGATCCATGAAAGAGCCCGCCTCCTTCCCGCCATGCGCAGCTTACTATCTCTGTCTTTCAGGGACAAGGCCCCAGGCCAGCGAGAATGTGATTTCTCCATTGATGGGATCAACAGATGCATCAGAGACATTGAGCAAGCCTCTCTTGCAGCCGTCAGTCAGAGTCTGGCCACCAGGGATGACATCTCAGTTGAGGTAAGGGAGGTAGCACAGGCGCAGAGTAACACTGAGCAGCCTCACTTAGCCCTGCTGCTTTTCTGTCCATTTGAAGATTTGGAGCTGAGTGCTTGGCACAATCTACTACCAGTGAGGGGAGAAGCATTCTTACTGGAATCTTTCTAGGCAAAAATCATGTGCTGGCCAAAGAGTGTCACTTCTGGAAAGATACCAAAATCACCATGCAAAAGTAGGGGTGAAAGTACTTATTTTTAACCACAGCCCACGTGTTACTCTGAATTCCTGTGCTGATGTGACCAGCTGATAGTGTTTGTCTGGTGCCTTGCCATGTGAAGGTTAGGAAGTTTCTGAAACTAATCTATTACTAGAAGTCCGGTGATGTAAATGTCGATATCATTTTTCTTAATGCCTATTTTCTCTTTAAATAAGTGAAATCTGGAGTTGATGTTGATATGTTCTCATTAAAAAAAGCTTACTTCCGTGCCCACGGCACCCCATGGTAACACAGACAAATCCTATTTCAGCTTTTATCTCATTGAGGAAGGTCTGTCATGGCCAGACTGCCTAGAAAAGTCAGCAACTCATGATCAGATTCTCAGCTTGGTATTTAGTAGTACTATTGCTTCCTGGTATTATATGTCTATTTGTGTATTCCAGTGGTTTCCTTGGGCTGTAGCACTGGATGCTAGAAACATCTCAGACTAAATGAAGCTATACAAAAGAACTTATTACAGGAAATATGTCATAGATATAATTCTTTTCTGTTTAAATGATGAAGTCATCTTGGATGCTGTGTCAAACTGAAATGAATGTTACTGAAGGTGGCAGTTATTTATAAAGCAATACAGAAATGTAACGAAGTGCAAAAATAGTATTTATTTTCCCTTGCCTTTCATGAGAGTGAGCTAAATCCTGGTAAGACATTAAGTGCCTCTGAGTTAAAAGCCAGTAATAAGCTTTTCTTAGCTCCTGTCTTGCAGACAGTATTCAGGAGGTCAGTCCTCATCTCTGTCCCTCAGAGCTGTCGTATCTTTCCTTTGTCTTTCCTTATTTTCCTTATTGGTGAATTTCTCCTGCGAGCTTCAAAGTTTACAGCAGAGCTTTTTGCTCTCGTGCTGTATTGTCTGCTTTGAAGAATGTTTATTCATATTTAAATCGGAGCTCCTGTGGTTTCTCTGATCGGTGCAGTGATTCTAAATCTCTGGCAGGGCAAGAATAGTTGGGGCAGGGCGGTTTGTCACATTGCAGTGAGAAAGGACACCTACTCCCAAGTATGCTACTATCAGCTAGAGTAGGAGGGAGCCATCTTCTCCCCTCTCTACCCAGACTTGCCATATAGATCTAAAGAGCAGCAGGCCTATCTTAGGGTTCTGGTTGTTGAAACAGCATAAAGGAGAAGAAAGGAGCAAGTACATAAAGAAAGCAGACAGCATGGATTTCTGCATCCTGTTGTGTCGTGGATCATTTGAACAGCGTTCTGAGTATGTCGGTTGGTCTGAGGGTGATAGGTATGGTCTATGGTATGATGTAGGTATGGTACAACTTGATAAAAGAACAGTTGTGACAGTAAGTGACTATTTCTCTTTACGTTAGGCTCTACAGGAGCAGCTGACATCGGTCGTCCAGGAAATTGGTCACCTCATTGATCCCATAGCCACTGCAGCTCGGGGAGAGGCAGCTCAGCTTGGGCACAAGGTACTGTCCTACCATGACGAAGGTATTTCAAATCTTGGACAGCTGTACATTAGGGAAGATCATGATTTAGTAGCTTTTTCACTTCCTGTGAAAGAGCAGAAGAAAGCATATGGAAGGAGGAAAGATCTGTGATTTCCAAATACACTTGGAGCTGAGACCAAATGAACCTGTTCATATTTTGGGCCATAGGAAAGATATTTTCAATGAGGTTTTTTGTAAGGGGCAGGTTTGCGGAGAAAGGACAAATGAAGAAAGGGGAGGGAAAAGCAAAGATGGAAGGGCAGAGCACAACATTATAGGTCTCCCTATGTCTGGCTGTTGCAGCCAGCAGCTGTACATATGCGTAGGTTCTTGTGTCTCTTGTGCTGTATTAAAGGGGCCCATCACACTCCAGGCCCATTCGTCAGGTCGCAGAGTTAAGTTTTAATATGTATGTGTAGCAGAATTGGGCGAATTGAAGAAGTCTGGCAAAGGTTTGTCAGATCCTCCCCTGATCTGAGGTCTTTGCGTAAAGCACACTACTCCATTTCTTGGCCAGTTCATGATGAAGCGAGGAGGGAAGCGTGGGATACACACTGAGGTTACCTCTGGTCTATGGAGGCCCGTCTCCTGAAGTGGCTTCTGTAGTCCGAGGAGAGGGAGGTTTCTAGTGTGGTTTCAAAGGAGGAGTGTGAGGTGCCTGCTTTCCACCTTCTGAGCGAGGCACTCTGTCTCCACTGATGATAGAGAAAGCTGTATTAGGAGAAAATTTATGAACCATGAACTGTGAACTCATGAAATAAGCTGAGTTTCAGTCCTTGCTGCAAATTTTTAGGCATTGTAGGGGAAGAGAAGCTTATAACAACCTTGCAATCTATTGTAAGTGTTGTATAGACACGTCCCTCTGTTATGTGGAGCGTGAGTATGGTAGAAGTTGTGCTTACTAGATCTCTGTCTAAAAATGAAACGTTACAACACATGTACCAGAAGTGTGTGTTATTTACTGTGCTTATTACAAGATTTTAGTAGTTTCTCAGATAGTAATTACTCATCCTAGAGAAAAACAAATACACGTTTTCTGTGTCAGTGCATTTAATACTGGAAAGGAATGACTGTTAGTGTGAGAGCTCTTCCAGAGCTGTACCTGAGTAACTCTGTTTAGCTTTAGATAACCATCAAATATTTCATAACGTCTCAACTATTTGCAGTTTTGAGTCTCAGTTTACCTAGCCCTTTGAGGTACACAACAAATCAGGATCACTAAGATGTAGGTAGGTAGGGAGTCACATTCCTCCTTCTGCTTGTTAGGTAAATGTTGACCAAA